GTCCTTGTACGAGGACTGACCCTTGTTGAAGATCTTAAGCACCGCGCCGCGTTTCACGGCGACCTCCAGGTGCTCGGCGATCTCCTCCTCGTGGAAGTTGTGGTGTTGACGAATCGCGTGGCATATCCGCTCGACGCTCGGCCTCTGCTTCTGACTACGAATCTTCCGGATCGCGTCGAGGAACCAGGCCGACCACGTCTCGGCAGACTCGGGTTCGTCCATTTCTTCCTCTTCTTCCGCCCCTTCTTCTTCGTCTTCGTCTTGGTGTTTTGGACTTCGTCGGCCGTCTGCCGACGAGGCTGACGCCGCCGGCGACGACGATCGCGTACCTCTCCAGAGTACGCGCCCCCGTTTAAACGCGACCCTCGAGCGTCTTCGGGTCGGTCTTATCGTCGCTGCGGTGTTCACATCCTGCGCGACTCGTCCAATGATTTTCCCAATGATTCCTTCGCCTACGATCGCCACGTTCCGTTTATCCTGGAATAAAAACACGCGCTCATCAGCCAACTCCGCCGCGTCTTTTCCTCTTTCTCGCCATCGCGCAGTCCGTGTACAAAAACGCGATTAACATCGAGAAGGACGCGCGACATTTATCGATCGGCTTCCTACTCGGTCGAGCTAACGTTTTAACTACGCGATCGAACACGAGACCCGTTTAAACGGTCGTGACCCACGATTCCCGCCCCGCTTTTCGACCGTTCCGAGTTCATTCGTCGCGAATTAGCCGACATTCGAAACCGTTCAATTTTCAACCGGTTGGCCAATTTTCCCCTAAAGCGGTGAACTTTCTCCTCGAGAACGTGCACGTGGAAGAGAGAGAAATATTCGAAATCGTTTAGTCTGAAATCACCCACGGACACGAATTAAATCAATCGTAAACCGACGATGCACGAACTCTCCCACCACGAATTATAAACTTGTCTCCGTTAATCGAACGGATATCCAGCGAAAAGAAATCGTATGACTTTCAGCTTTCCCGCCAACTGCACCGAGTTAACGAACGCCGACCAAGACGCGACCCAGGCAACAGGTTTCGACCTAGCTACGTGTTCGCGTCGAGCAGGCTAAATAAAAAGACGAAAATACTCTCCTTAAATGCTGTCCCGTGTAGCGTATGTTAACCTCGACCTATCGTCTCCGTTCGCTCTCGCCTAAAGGCGCAGTTTCGAATGTTCAAAATCGTTCTATGGGAAACGGTTGAACGTCTATCGTGGCATTCACCGTTTCACGTCAAACGCGGTGACTGAAAGTCCTACGCGAACGTCGTTTCCCGCCAAAACATCCAGTCTGTCATTTTCAATTTCGCGGGAATTTAGGTCCATTCGAATTTGTAAACAACGGGTAGAGTGCGATCGAGAAAGGGATGCTCGAACGTAGACAACGTTAAAACGTTAACGAAAGGTAAAACTTGACGTTTATTAATGCTAAGAGTAATGTAGGTTTTATTGCGAGAACGAGCGAAGGAACAAAAGTATCTTTTGATCGATGTACGAGATGCGTATGTATATTGTTAGCGTGCGAACAGTTCGTAAACGGATGAGTGTCTAAACGCCGCACGTCGCGCTGTCCACCAACAGAATACGTATTTTGACTTGCGCGATTTTTCGCTTTACTACGCCTCTCACGAACGCGCCATCGCGAACTACCGCGCAGTTATTCCCCTCTAATTAAAAAGAAGAATCGATCCGGCATAACGTTAATTTTCAAGCGAACCAATTAGATTAATACGCGTTGGACTTAATAATTTTGTAAACGTACGGTTTGAATAACGTACGGTGTACGTTAGGAGGTGTAAAAGAGCCGTTGGAAAGCGTTCGAGCTTGGAAAAACTGTACCGGTAGAAGATACGGTCGTGTACCGTCGCGATACTTGGAACGATAGAGTTTCCACGATAAGTTGAATTTTAAATATCGACCTTGGCTCGAATTCGTTAATCGGCCAATCACCGGCACGTTTCCAACGATCTTACGGAATAACAGGGGAGCGAGAGCGTACGAGAGCGAGGCAGCGAGACTTAGCCTCGACCGCGACCAACGAATATCCGATTGATTTACCTAAATTTATCGAGACTTGACGAGCCTTTTTCTCTCGGTCGCTATGCACGGCTGCGCCTGTTCCGACTCGTTATCGCATCGAGCGGAATAAAGTAAGTATCGGTCGAACGAACGACCGACACCAGGTCCGTCTATTTGTCCGTCGTTCCTCCGGTTAAGACGATGACGGGGACGAGGACGAAGAGAGGCCAGTCGGGCCGGCTGACTGTGTTTGCCGGGGCCCCTCTCACCCGACGGAGAGTAAAAGAGAGGACACGCCAGCGGAGAGAGAGCAGCTGCCACCGAGAAAACGGACGGTTACCGAACGGCTCTAACCACCGCCGCCCGTCGCTTCTCGTTCCTCGTTACTCGTTTCTCCTTTCTCGTTTCTCGTTTCGTTTCTCCTTTCTCGTTTCTTGTTCGTCACTCCTCGTTTCTGCACACGCTTCTTTCGACTGACAAACTGTTCCGAACACTTGTCGATATTAGTGAAATCGATGCTACTCCGTTTGGCGATCCATGATCGCCGGCACCGAAACCGAAACAGAAACGATAACCACGCACCGACTGTGACGTTCCGCGTTACAGCTTGCCAATCGCGAAACGATCGTACGCCTGATACGGTTCCGTGTAACCGCGAACTCCTTGCCGTCGGTAGCCATTTTACATCGTCAACTTTGATACGCATACTTCTGACATGGTTCGCGTTACTCGACCGATATAGCTCGCCGATAACTATCGCAATTCCTTACGAGTCACCTCTCCGTCGTAACACTGTAACACTGTACAATCAGCAAACGTAACAGCGACGGCCGTCGCCCACGAACCAATCCGTCGTTCGTCTCCGCGCTATTTCCGATCGTTCCTGCTTTTGATCGCTACGAACACCGGGACACGCGTTTCTCCCTTTTATTTCGAGACACGGCGCACCTCGCGAAACCATGAAAAACTCGACACCGTGCAATCGCGGTAAACTACGCGACGAGAACGCGAGTTTCTCGAAGCCCGACGGGCAGCCATCTTGGGTAGGCACGGCCAACTCTCCGTTGTTTCGCACAATTTTTCGCGCGCAGAAACCATAATTCGGCTAAAATATCGCGTCGCTTCGATCCATCGAGAAACCTGCAGCTATTCCATAGCATTCGAACGTTTGCCTGTTCGCGCGTGATCCAACAAAAACGTCAAGAAAGTACAAGGAGAAACACTTGCGTACGGAACATTGTCTTCCTCTCTTTCGCGCTCCGACAGGCTTGCGCTCTCTCTTTCTCTCTTTTTCTCTTTCTCCTTCTCGATTGTACGCGCGCGTACGCGCCGTCTCTCTCGCACCCTCCCTTCCTCCCCTCTCGTCAACCCTCTCTCTCTTTTTTTTCTTTCTCTCGCTCCCTCTCGCGTTCGAGCTAGCGACCAGACCCGCTGGCCCGTATGCGTCGGCTGATGATTCGCGTGGTTCTCTTGCAACGTTTAACGAGAGCCAAATTGTTTTTACCTGATCAAGGCGATCCCATGTATAAATCCACAATCGAACGAACCCGTGAATCACTAACTACCGAAACACGGGACGCGTAATCACGATCACCGATTATCTTGCAACAACGGCGTCACATTTCACACAAATCAACAAAGGTTACCCACTTGACAAAGATGGCGGTTGCGGGGGTTACATATTATGCGCACGCGGTGGGGAGCGCACTGCGCACACCGCGCTCGTAGCTACGGCGGAATCACGAAACAGTCGTAGCGGCGTAGCGACATGCGTTTTCCTCAACCAATCAAACTGTTCGCTTTAACTCGCACACTCTCGTTACCGGTCACACGTGCATCCCGTTTCGTTCCTTTTTCCCGCACACGAACGAACCAACTGTTCGTACGTACAACGATTATTAGTACATCACGCGGTGTCCCGTCGACCCGTTCAACACCTAGGAAAAACCTTTCGGCTGCGAAATGCAAGGCGTAACGAAAACGAACATTGAAACCGCTGATCCGACCTCGCACCGGACGGTCATCAAGCTTCTGTATATCTTTCGCTCCGTACCAAATACTTAGGTTTTTTTCTATCCTCGCTTCGATCCGCTCATCTCTTGCTTTCCGATCCATATCACCGTTTACAATTACCTTCTATATGGACACGGTAGCGACGCGGCTGGTGTTCGACACTACCACTAACTTCGACCAATAATTTCTTACTCTGCATATTTTTCATTCGAGTCACGTGACTATGAATGTTCCAATTAATCATTCTTGGGAATTTTTTTATCGCTCTGTACCGTTTGCTTCGATATTTTCAATAGAATTATGATCAATCCGTGCTCGTAAATACGATTATTTTATTGTTTCTTTCTTAATTTTATATCGCATTATACGTTTATACTGTATACTATATTTCTGATCAAGTTATACGTTACTCCATTTCTCTTTCATTTTTTGATTGTCCTTACCGTATAGTACTTCGACCATCTACATCCTTATCTTTTCATCTTCATTCAGCTCTATGTATTTTACGATAAACACATACAAATATTCAGTGGCGCAGGCGCGCTATGCCTCATATTCGTTCTTTTTATTTTATTTTCACTGTTGTGACCTGCGTGCCTTTATACTTGTATTTCATGTGATACGTGATCATCCGATGAACCGACCATGTTGTTGTAGGTGATTCTATTGATTTTTCAATCCTATATAACAAATGTCTACGAACAATGCGATTTCAACGTCCATGTCATTCGAAAAGTAAATCTATTACTATTTCATGCGCGCAATTTGTATAATTTTATTAATCAATCAAATATAACCATGCAATTATCGATATAGGAAAATATTTTCTTTCATATCCTCAGCAAATGCTGCCTAATCATATTCTTGCCTAATTCTTTCTACTGCTAGGTTTTAATATACCAATAAGTCAAGCTATGCTTCTCCATTGTGATTCAAGGAAGAGTAAATATTTAATGATTTAAAGAAACAAACTTAAAAGTGCTAAGGTACATTTATTAAGTACAAAATTCATTGATACTATTTAATTAAGTATTCTTAGAGGGTGAAGGTAGGTTTTCCTTCATAAGTACATCCAGATCTTTGTACAATTTGTGTCGCTGCCCAAATACCACATTTTATACAAACTTCTATGTCTTTACCTTGTATGAGTTGAGCCAAAAAACCTGTAACATCAGAAAAATTTTATTAGAAATACTGTCAATCTTAAGGTGCATCAAAGATTTATGATTAACTTACCTCCAACGAAAGCATCTCCTGCTCCATTTGTATCAACAACCTTTTCTGCTGGTAATTTAATAGCAGGGAATTCCTGCACTTTATTATCTTTGGCTACCAATATATGATCAGCTCCTTGTGTTATCACTACGACCCTTTGCCTCTTATCATTTACTTTTGGCATTTGTGACAGTTTCAAGGTAATTTCTTTTCTATCCGTTGTTCCAAAGTCATTTAGTTTTGCAAATGTATCTGCTTCTGTTTCATTACCAAATAAAATATCAACATAAGGAAGAGCTGCCAGCATAGGTGTCTTATAGAATTCGCATAAAAATGGAGCACTAAGATTCATCATAAACATTTTATTTTTTTCATTAGCATGTTGTGCAACTGCCTGGATCGTTTCTGGGCTGACAGTCAAGAAGAAACTCTGTAAAGTAATTTGGTGAATAGAATGCAATGTTCTGCTACTCTGCTGATAGACCTGATGCAATACTTATACATACAGAGACATAAATGTATTCTGCTGCTTCTATAAGTTTTTTATTTTCAGGTTCTTCTATGTGTGAAAGGGAAAAGCAATTGGCAGCAGCCAAATTGGCACATAAAGAACGGTCATTTCCAGTAATAAGGACTGCACAGGTACCAGTAGGTTCTTTGTTCGTGTACTGATAGCGAACGTTCAAACCATCAGCTTTTGCTCTCTCCTCTAAAATTTTTGAATATTTATCTATCCCAACGCAACCCATGTAAGTGGCGACTCTTGGTTTTTCCAGAAACCACTAAAGAATATTTAACAATTCATGCTTGCAACTTTGAGTCAATAGTATATACTGTAAGTGTATAAGGTATTTACTTGCGCTACTCTCATTGTATTTTGTACAGAACCTCCAGCAATAAAGTCTGCTTTATACAGTTCAATTAATTCATCGTACATAGATTTGTGTTTCTCTTCAGCAAGAATAGCATTGTTCGATTTTAATTCGTACTTTTTTAAAAAATTGTCGTCTACGGTTGCTGAAATGTCAAGAAGGGGATTACCCATGCCTAGCAGTAGACCCTCTCTGAAACATTTTACAATTTTTATACTAACCATTTGATAGCTTGCAAATGGAACGTAATGTTTACCATCAGTTTTAAATATTTCCCACGACTATGCATTTTTAAAAAACGCGTTACGACCGAGGTTCTCAATCTTCATAATCCGGCACTGAGAATCAAAACCTCAAATTTTTTCTCGCATCGTATATCGCATAAAACCGTAGAATATGCGTTATATGCATCGATAAAATTACAAAACCTTTGTCATGCATTGTCTACCACAAATTTTTAAGTAATGTCGTAAAAATTTGTAACCGAATTACATAACTCTCGTTATATCACATACAACGGTGAAACATGCGAGCACATGATCAACCGCGTGCACGACACATGCACGCCTGACATACTTTAAACCTAGCCTAACCTCGAAACGAAATTCTTAAAAATCACTGACATTATCGACAGAAAAAAAAGAGAATCAACGAAATACAAACAACTTGCTGCAAGAATCAATCGTACCGTAAATCCACAGCCATTTGTTAGAAATTTTCCCAACCAACAATGATTCGAAACGCAACGTTCGCGAATGGTAACACTGCGCCACTGAGCCGCGCAACCAACCAGTTCCGTATTTCACGACTCACACTGATCATAGAAATATCGTTTATTTTTAGCGATATTTGCATAGTCACGTTATCATCGGTTATCGTTTTTTTACGTTACAATGCGCTGCTTGTATAAACATCAACAGATTTTAAAAGCTTGCGTGGAGAAACGAACAAAGCATAAGTTAGCTTCGAAAAGCCACAGTGGTAACATATTGCTTATAAGTTTTTTAAATTAACCATAGATTACAAATCTTGTAAAGATTACATTGTCGAATTGCGGTGTGTACGAAATAAACTATTCGATTAAAATGGGCAATTTTATTTTATAAACGCATAATATACAAGTATAATTTCTTTATTCAATTCGATTAACAAGTAGGTATCCTACGGAAAATAACGCCACGTAATTTTTTGTCTCTGTTCTGCAAAATGTCTTACGCCGTATACATAAAGATATATCGATGCTATTAATACGATACCATTACAGTTACGTCATGTTTACGTTACGTTACCAAATTAGCGGGAAAACAGGGTCTGATATAACATGTCGTAAACGTATATAATCCGTTCTTTTATTTACAAAATCCTTGTAAATTCGTAACAGCACCTTACCTGCGTCGTTGTTATCGTACTTACCGCTTTAAGATTCGCAGAATTTGAATACACGTTCGAACGCAAATTTGCAAAGATTAAACTGCGCGATACGCGCGAGATATTCCGGCGAGATACGCAATCTAGTTTTCAAGTTCGCGAAAGAAAAAAAGGAAAATAAAGTGGAAATGGGAGAATAAAGTAAAATATGCCGACAAAGAAGATTTTGTAAGTACAAATAAGTGGTTTTGCGCAGAAATCGAATAAGGAAAGGATTGGACGCAGTTTACTTTTCCTTACGGTACCTTCGTATTTTCACACAGCAAAACATAAGAAAATCCATAACGACAAAGAAGCGTCGAAGCGTAGTTTCGCAGCATCGGGTATTTAGCGAGTCTTTCGAAGATTTCAGCGTGTTTACGTGCGTGCGTGCTTAACCGCATCTCCTGAGAAAGAAAACATGGCTCTCAAAACGCTGGGTCGAAACTGCGAACAGTCGTAAGATATACCGATGCGTTTCGTCTTTACTCGCTTTACACGCGAATGAAAATGACGCGATTATGGACACTTGCCTTGATACGTGGTTTAAAGTCCGTGCTGTTCTATCTGCTCGGCTACGGGAGACGAAACGGTGTCCTGCCTGGTCGACAATTACCTTGCTACGTAAGGATACGTTGAACCACCTGCCTTTCCTCCTCTCTTTCTCTCTTTCTCCAGATTTTTCTGTCTGTTCTCTTCTCGTTTCATCGCTTTACATTCTCTTTCCCCTTTTAGTGCAGCCGATTGGCAGCTCCCTCGTGTCCAGAAGCGTGCGAGGTAGAGGCTACGGTGTCCTATATCATACATCACATTACAATACGCATGGTATCTTTTACGTTTTCTTCGTGGCGCGTCTCTCGGATTTTTCGGTAATTGGCAACCGACGACCCGGCACGAGACACGTTCGGTTATCCGTCAGGCTTGCGAAGAATTACACGTCCCGATTCCCGTAGCAGACTATTTATTGGTTGATATCGCACCACGCACGTATCGTCGCATGGTCCGATTTCTACCCCGATCGATCGGTGCATTCCGTTCCGTTTTTCTCGAATACGTGGAGCAGCTTTCCGGCCGGCATCTTCCGTTCTCACGACCCGTCCTCAAAAGTGTATCGACCACGTGTCATCTATCGACGCGACACGATACATCACGTTTTTTTTAGCCGTGATTCAGGGATTCCGTATACGTGTTTCCGAAGCGTGCGTGGGTGCGTGTCTCGATTTGCGAGTGATTTCCGTCTCGTCGATCTTTTCTCGGTACACATCCCGACGGCGGCGACGTAGACGGCGACGAGGAGTTTTGCGAACTTGACCGGTAGCAACGGGCCGAACGAGGCAACGTTATCGAAACTACCAAATGCCGTCCATAGCGTTACGAGAGATTGTGTGCACGATCCCGTGGGTTTCCTATCGACGTGTTTCCGGTACGACGTGATCTTCGACGACTCGGATCATCGTGCGATCAAGTTGTACTTTTATACTGAAATTTTGCACGACGAGTTACCCGACGTTCTTTCGAATTCCATTTGTTTCTCTCACGCCGTGCCTTCGCATTGTTCCAGTCACAGCACATGCGAGCTAAAGAAAACTAGATTTCTAAAAAAAAAGCTGCGAGTTCTACGGTACGCGTGGATAAAAATAGTTACCGCAAAACTCGGAAAATTCGTCAAAATACATACTCCGAAAAATTTTATGGACTACAGTATTCTCTTCGTAAATGTTCAAACTGGAGAGTAACATTTATAGGTACTACATTCTTTGTAGTGAGCGTAACATAGAAAAGGACAACAACATGAAAGACTCATGCATGTTCTGTTTTTTAAATTCAAAAATCAAAATTCTTTACTTTTGGTTTTTCGTGAATGAAACTTTGATTATCGTATTCGTCTCGTTTTTCCGATTAAAATGGCACCGAACACGGTATAATTAAAATCATAATTATATAGCAAGCTGTTAGGAGGAATTCTCTGCTGTAAATGTAAAGTTTGCCGTAAGTGTGAAAGCCCGAAACTTTATGGCTCGTTACATAAGTAATTACGATCATATCGTGTTTGGTGTCATTTTAATCAGAAAAACGAGACAAATTCGGTGGTAAAAGTTGCATTGACGAAAAACCAAAAATAAAGAATTTCGATTTTTTAATTTAAAAGACAGAACACGCACGAGTCTTTCAAGTTTGCCGAGCGCTTCAACTTCTGCCTCTCTTTTCCATTCGCTGTCCTGTTTTATGTTAAAAACTGTAATCGCTCGTTACACACGCAATTGTTAACGTAATTATATCACGTTTGGTGTCATTTTAAAAATACGGCAGTAAAAGTTTCATGAGAAAATAGTAATTTTGCTTGCATTAGTATGTGTCTCACCGATAGTCGATCCTCGTCGTGTTTCACTCTCGACTGTTTTCGAGGGGGATCCCCTCAATAATGAGGATAAAATTTGAACATTTGTTGAGTAAAAGTAACCTCCTCCTTTTTCGAAGTCGGTTAAATAAGAGTCCCTCTCTTATGAGAAAATAAATTACAATACAATACAAAATTTACGAAGAGAATACTGTACTAAATAAAAAGAACCTAGCTTTCCACTAGAGAGCTTTGGTGAAAACTCGAATTCTTTTTCTCGCTCCGAAAGTATTTTCGTCCGCTCGAGACAGAAAAAGGCTCGGTTTATCCGGAAGCGACGGATTCCAAACTCGGAACGACGAGAGAATACGGACACGGGGTTACCCTAGAAAAAATAGAACTCGAACGGAGTGTAAGGAGAGGATGGTGCAGAAGCGAGATCGAAAATGGTGGCCGATCGCGAGACATCGCAACGCGACGACGCGCAGGAAGCCAGGAAAACGCGCGTTTCGTTCCCGTCGACTACGAGTCCTTCCATCGGCGAAAAATCTCGCGAAGGATCAAGAATTAAGGATGTACTTTGGGTGGGCACGCAACCGGTGCAATTAAAGAACACGAAACTCCGTTTTTTGTGAATTCCACAAGTACATTATTGTTATTACATTGGTTTATCCATTATCGGTACGATTCTTATTAATGTAACTATCATGGAAAAAAAACAGGTCGTATCGTCGAAAGGAGAGAAAAAAAAAGAGGAAACGAGAAAAAATATTACACGCTTGAAACTAGAAACTGTGATCGTCGTACGTGTGCGCGTTGACTAACGCGCCGAAGCTAAACAGAGCGCATTTCGCGATTAATCTTCGCTAACTCTTTACGTTAATTAATTCTAGTACGTTAATAAAACGATATTACGTGGCTACAGACTAATGATATAATGTTCGCACGACCCACTTCAAATTCCCAATTAACGCAACTACCGATCTACCGCGTTCGCGTCCGTACGCTTTAAACTACGGTTAAAACTGCACGCATTTTCCTCCTTTCGTTTATCGGGGAGAGGGAAGGAACGCGGCGTATCTCTCGTTTCTTTATTTGCGCGCTAGAGTGCCGCTAACTATAGATAAATTACGTTTAGAAATTTTATGGGACGCTCGAATTCGATTAAAATCGACACGCAATTGTTAACGTAATTATATCACGTTTGGTGTCATTTTAAAAATACGGCAGTAAAAGTTTCATGAGAAAATAGTAATTTTGCTTGCATTAGTATGTGTCTCACCGATAGTCGATCCTCGTCGTGTTTCACTCTCGACTGTTTTCGAGGGGGATCCCCTCAATAATGAGGATAAAATTTGAACATTTGTTGAGTAAAAGTAACCTCCTCCTTTTTCGAAGTCGGTTAAATAAGAGTCCCTCTCTTATGAGAAAATAAATTACAATACAATACAAAATTTACGAAGAGAATACTGTACTAAATAAAAAGAACCTAGCTTTCCACTAGAGAGCTTTGGTGAAAACTCGAATTCTTTTTCTCGCTCCGAAAGTATTTTCGTCCGCTCGAGACAGAAAAAGGCTCGGTTTATCCGGAAGCGACGGATTCCAAACTCGGAACGACGAGAGAATACGGACACGGGGTTACCCTAGAAAAAATAGAACTCGAACGGAGTGTAAGGAGAGGATGGTGCAGAAGCGAGATCGAAAATGGTGGCCGATCGCGAGACATCGCAACGCGACGACGCGCAGGAAGCCAGGAAAACGCGCGTTTCGTTCCCGTCGACTACGAGTCCTTCCATCGGCGAAAAATCTCGCGAAGGATCAAGAATTAAGGATGTACTTTGGGTGGGCACGCAACCGGTGCAATTAAAGAACACGAAACTCCGTTTTTTGTGAATTCCACAAGTACATTATTGTTATTACATTGGTTTATCCATTATCGGTACGATTCTTATTAATGTAACTATCATGGAAAAAAAACAGGTCGTATCGTCGAAAGGAGAGAAAAAAAAAGAGGAAACGAGAAAAAATATTACACGCTTGAAACTAGAAACTGTGATCGTCGTACGTGTGCGCGTTGACTAACGCGCCGAAGCTAAACAGAGCGCATTTCGCGATTAATCTTCGCTAACTCTTTACGTTAATTAATTCTAGTACGTTAATAAAACGATATTACGTGGCTACAGACTAATGATATAATGTTCGCACGACCCACTTCAAATTCCCAATTAACGCAACTACCGATCTACCGCGTTCGCGTCCGTACGCTTTAAACTACGGTTAAAACTGCACGCATTTTCCTCCTTTCGTTTATCGGGGAGAGGGAAGGAACGCGGCGTATCTCTCGTTTCTTTATTTGCGCGCTAGAGTGCCGCTAACTATAGATAAATTACGTTTAGAAATTTTATGGGACGCTCGAATTCGATTAAAATCGTCCCTCCTTTTACGAGGCGTAAAAGGAGGTCCGTACGAGGCCGAGCCGCGAAATCGGTAATCGAAACGATCATCGCGCGCGCTACAACTAAACACACGATGATCCGATTATCGCGACGCGTCGCGAAAACGCAGCCGATCACGTCCGATCGTTTTGACGCGACGAAAATTACCGAGGACCGTGTGTCGCGAGGAAAAAACGGTGCGTGTTCGCGTGCGCGTCGGCGTGAAAAATATACGTCGTCGATCCTACCGAAACGGAGTTCGAGCTTCGCAAAAGAGCTATGATGGAAAACTTGAGCTGTTGAAAAGTTCCATCTCGGTAGGATAGGTTTACATCGAGAACCCACCGAATAAAAAATAACGCGAGGACGCAGGGGAAAGAAAGAGGACGCGTTCGGTGATGGGTAGGCGTTAAGCAACGAACGATAACGGTACCGGTAGCGATGGTGGTTGCGGTGACGGCGGCGAAGGCGATGACGACCACGACGACGACGATGACGAAGAGAAGGACGACGACGACGACGATGGTGTTGGCGGCGACGGTGGGGACGACGGCGACGGCAACGGCGGCGGCGAAAAATTTTACGTGTCGGGGATAGGAAAACTGGAAATAAAGGTAAAATAAAGGGGGCGCAAGAAAGGCTTGCGACTCGATCTGTGTTCTTTTGCTGCCTAATCTCGCTCCCGAATCGAAGAGGAAAATTCGAACTTTCGCTAAGAGGAACGTCTCCCGATTTAGTGGCATGACCACAGGTTCCGAGGCTTCCTGCGACACGCGGAGACCCGACGCGACGAGTAATGTGGCGCGGACCGACACGATGCTTTCTTGTTATACCGGTCTGCTAAGAGGCTAAGTTCTGCGAAATACACGGCGAGGAACTCGCGAGATACAGGGCAGATAGGTAAGTAGACAAGGGTACAGAGAGCTACCGATCTCGCGAATTTGTAAACCGTACGCGTGCTCGAATAGTATTACGCGTGCAATGGGGAATTCGTTGAATTTCAACCATGGACTTCCTCGGTTTTCTAGCTAAGATTAGTCGGGGGCAGTGTAGGCTTCCTTTGGATGACAAACTTTTTACCTATATTTAAAATTTTGTAGCTTATAAATTTATAGATTGTCGAATTTTTTAATTTTGCGAAGCTTGAAATTTACAAATTCGTAAATTGACTCATTTTGAAGGTTTCAATTTTTTAAATTTGCAAATTTTTGAATTTATAGATTTTTCAAATCTAATTATAATTTTTTAAGTGTTTCTATTTTTTGGAATTTTTTGTTTCTAAATTTTTTAATTTAGCTAATTTCTAAATTTTTTGGTTTTTAATTTCTTGTTTATCAGATTTGAAAATTTTCAATGTATTTCTTACAAAATTTTTGAATTTTCAATTTCTTATTTATCAAATAATTTAATTCTCAATTTCTTCTTCATCAAATTTTTGAATTTTCAACCTCTTATTTACCAAACTTTTTAATTCTCAATTTCTGATTTATCAAATGTCTAAATTTTCAACTTCTTATTCACCAAATTTTTGAATTTTTAATTTCTTAATTACCAAACATTTTAATTCTCAATTTTTGATTTATCAAATGTCTAAATTTTCAACTCCTTATTCACCAAATTGTTGAATTTTCAGTATCTTAATTACCAAATATTATAATTCTCAATTTCTTATTTATTAAATGTCTAAATTTTTAATTTCTTGTTCACCAAATTTTGGAATTTTCAACTTTTCATTTACTAAATTTCTATATTACTGAATATTTAAATAAAAAATCCCCAAATTCAATCTTTAATTTTCTGCATCCCAAAATTTCTAGTCTCTCCTTTAAAAATTTCTGAGTCCCCAAATTTCCAAGCCACCAAGTACCTATGTCCCCAGACATCCTAAAATCCGTAGTCATAAAAAATTCCTATCCCCAAATATCCAGACACAAAATTTCTCCATCTAAAAAATTTGATATCCTAATTTTCATCGCAAAAAATTTTGATATCTCCTAATTTCCAACCACTGAAAACTAAAAATCACCGAAATTTGGTTGCCATTCTCCCTAGGGAAGCCAGACTTGCTCTAAACAGTTTCTTACCGACAAGAAACCCGTTTTTTTCACGAAACCGTACGCTTCGCTCTTCGTCTCGCTACGCTTCAAACTTAATAAAAAACGAAAAAAGGACCTGTTTCAGAAGCGAGACGATCGGGCTGCGTAAAGAGGCTAAAGCCGGATGAATTTTCGCGACAACAGAAACGTTTCGACGACTCGGGACGACGCGACCCGTTCGTAACGCGTCTACTTACCTACGCTCTTCGAATGAATCTCGGCTGAAGTCCTCGTACATGCCTCTACTATAACAGCGGGTATAATAAATAATCGAATCTACGGATGATCAGAGATCAACGTATACCGGTAACTTGCTCCCTTGTCCAAGGCTTAACTTTGTGAATTAGTCCCTGTATATTCAAAGTCAAAGGAAAATGATTGCGTGCCGCCTAATATGACTGTGTTAACAGAGGCGAAAGGTGAGGAAACGGAGGATGAAGTCGTTTCGTTGGTGATCGTTCATTCGAATTTCGCTGACACCTTTCTCTCAGCATACTCTCTCTCTCTCTTTCTCTAAGAACGCCTGGAACGAGCGAAGAATTCAACGATGGATGCGAAGGAAACTAGCGGCACTCGGAGCAATGTCGTATCCGAAGGGATTCTGATCTATCCTTAATTCGAACCCGCCTAAATTGCGCGCGAGTCGTTTCCGAATAACGCTTCCTCGGCCTCGGGATCGCAGTTAAATACGAGAGATTCGGTAACGGCGAAAATACGAGTCGGCCAGTCATATGAGGCAGGCAGCGGTAGACTGGATTTCGAACCCATGCGATTGTTCGAGCCGAAAGATCAGAGCCGTTTGCAGCCCAGGCTGGGATCATGTAGGGTAATAAGGTAACGTGCAACAACAAATTCAAATTATTCAGAACGATCGAGAAGTTCAATCAACTCTGTTTTCTATTTGAAAGTTTGCGAATGAATTTTACATACATGAAAAGCTTCGAACCTCGCGAGTAGAAGTCAGCTTCCAAGAACCGTGGATTTACCTTGTACGAGCGACACAGAGCCGTCGCGTTTGCAGCTTACGTACCTTTCGAATTAACGCGATTTCGGAACTGAACTCGATAAAGCGTGAGCGGAACGAGAAGAGGATACCGTCTCGAAATTATCTAAGAATGTGAAAAGGGGCGTCTCGATTTGAACCTCCGTGCTTCTTTTTTCTCTAACGCAAGACCGAGCCTCGATGATCACAGAGAGATGACCGCGATATCCAAATGTTCTGTCCCGTTCGTCTGGAGAGCTGATTTCTACTTACGAAACGTTTCAAAGACAATCGACGGGCGTCATTCCTAGAAATCGCGCCAACCCTTACTTTTTTCCGTTCATTTTTTTTCGTGTTTTTCGTTTCCGTTTCGGTTTTCTTTTCTATCTACAGCGTACGAGAGTTCGTTAGAATTGCGTAGGATCGCATCCTGGCTCGCGGTGGTGCGATCGAGAAATCTAGTTCGCATTCCTTAGGAACGTTTCTTCATCCCAGGCCTCCGCGCCACTCCCGGTCGAGTGATGTACGTAATAAGGAGCGCTTGAAACACAAAGGATTCATGAGAGACATACAGGCCAATCTCGCAGTTAACGCCATGGATCAAGAGAGTCTATGAACAGGGACATCCCTAGAAGAGCAGTCGACATGTTCAAGGTACGATCAGTCGAGACCCGGAATTTCTCGCGTGAAACGAAAACGAGGGAAGCTGCTCGTATAGACGCGTTTACCGACAACAACGAGGTACGACTACTCGCTAACAAATGTGGTCAAAGACTTACTCTTGCACGACTTGAACGTTGGCCCGGGACTGTCTCTCTAGGGTTGCCCGCGTTCATGGACAAAGATGGTACGCAGCCTGAGGTGCACTGAAATTTAGAATGTACAGAAACGTCCAAGCGTCATATTATATTAGCATTTTATTACGCAGACTCTGCACTCGTGTGGGCATCGGGTCGACACTCGTACTCGAATTTCAACAAAAATACCAATTATATCGTCTCGAATGAAAGAAGCGTACGCTCCGTGTAGTATCGATTAGGTTCGTCCGAAAAACCGCAGATTCTCCGTGCCAAAAACGAACAGGAAAAACCTTTTACCGCCTTTCACCCAGACGGTACCAAGGTTCCATTGTCTCTCTTCGACAAACGCTTCGATTTCACTGCGCGAAAACCGTACCTCGAAAACGAACTAGATTGCGTTTCAAAGAATCTGCAGTTCTCAAAGTACGACCTTTCCGAGACGTCCTGTGTTCGTGCCAGAAAGAGAGAGAGAAAAAAAAGAAAGAAAAAATAAAGACCCAGCCACGCACGGATTCGCTTCAACGACCAAACGTAAAATAGCAACGACTACAATTTCATTGTTCGTAAAAACAACCGAATATTGCCCGGAAGTATACGCGACACAAATCGCAGACACGATATATACACATATACTCGTGTACATGTGACTTAACAAGTCTACGATTCGTGCGGAAAAAGAAATACCAGGGTGGCCCGAGTGACTGGAACAAATCACCGTTAAAATGGTACAAGCGGAAGGTTTCACGAGGAAAGACTAAATTATTTCAAGCACATCCTCCTGAAACTGCAGACTTCAAATATAGTTCCATGTAAAAAAATAGAACATTGAAATGCCAGCAGTTTTGGAGAAGACATATAGTTGAAACAGTTTAATTTTGCCTGATGAAATTTCTTCTTGTACCGTTTGATGCAGCTTGTCTGGTCGCATGGGACACCCTGTATAAATATATATAGATAGATAAATAGATGATATATAAAATGTCGACGAATCACCGATCAACCCCAATTCGCATGAGCTGTTAATCCAGCCTGGAACGTTCACAATGTTAAGTCGGACGAATGGGCAGTCGGTAAGCGATGACTGTACTCACCTGAACCGGCCGTTGTTGCCACTTGGAGGGGGTGATCGGCGGCTGAACATGCCATACTCGTTCCCACGGGAGAAGCCAGTGTCGCGCATGGATCCCATACCTAGAGGAGGCATAGGAGGCATTGGATCTCGTCTTGGAGGTAGAGGTGGCATTGTCATTGGTGGAAAGTCAAGCCCGCACATGGATGTTCCCATGTCACAGGGCCCTGTCATACCCGTAAACCGCCTCTCGTAGAGATCCCTGGTGTCCTCGAAGCCCCTTCTGTCGTAGTAGCTTTCGTAATCCTGCGACACACGGAAAAATACGAACGTTAATTATCGATGCACTGGCGAGTTGTTTTTCTGTTCGAGTGTTTACGTAAAGGAAAATACTTACTCCAAAGCGGCCACCACCCATTAGCCGATCCCGAAGGAACGGTGGTGGCGGCGGTGGAGGGTACGGGTCGCGTCCAAACATTCGGTCCCTGTATCCGTTTCTATCCGGACCTCCTCCCATTCCTCCTTTCGGGCATTCCTTGGACCAATGACCGCCGCGACCGCATCGGTAGCATTGCTCGGGATCCCCCATTCCTGGCCTCTGTCGTACTCTGCTCGTAGAAATCTGAACCTTCATCGGTTGACCGTCGACCATTTGTCCGTTCAGTTCCTTGATGGCGTCGTTCACGTCGCCCGTCGCTTCCAGATGGACGAATCCGTAATTCCTCACGATATCGCATTCCACGACCGTGCCGTATTTAGCGAAAAGTTCGCGCACTTGCGGCGCTTTCGTGTTATCCGTCAGATTGCCAACAAATATTTTTGTCGTAGGAGTGTTTGGCCCCTTACGACTCTTTGCGGCCTCGCATTTAATCGGCTGCCCGTGAACTATTTGTCCGTTCAAATTTTGTATCGCGTTTCTCCCTGCCTCTTCATTTTCCATATGCTATCAAACGTAATACGTAATATTATCGCCTACTCGTTTATTTGGTAACGACAGTACGAAAGGAAAAAACGTATCGCGCGTCAACGTTCGAACGACGTTCCGAAACGTTTAAGAAAAAAAAATCCTGCGTATCGAAATGTTCAAACTTACCACGAATCCGTAATTTTTCACCACATCGCATTCTACGACCTTTCCGTATTTCTCGAATAACGGTTTAATATCGGCATTCGACGTCTTGTCGGCTAAATTGCCGATAAAGATTTTAAACGTGCCAACGCTACTAAAACCTGGCATTTTCGGCTCGTTCTAGAACCTGCTTTCACAAACAAAACATTACAAATATTATTTACCGCCTAATCGCGTGTTGCTTTTACCAACGTATTACGCGCCACGCTAGAAAGATTATGACGCGTTGCAATTATGTTCAATGTTTTTCTACTGTGTGCCCTTTGGAGCGCGATCGACTCGTGAAAAAGCACACGGCCAACGTACCTTTCCTATCACGAAATTATCGTTTAACCGAAATAAAAGCTACCGAGATTATTTAAGCGATTACGCGCGAAAGAACGTCGCGAAACGAACCAAGAAATTCGTCGAGGATACTCAATGGTGACGCGATTGTTTAGAACCCCTCTTCCCCTCACCCCTCTACAAGCGCCACACGCCACTCGCCACTCTCCACTCTCCACCCATTCTAGGATGCTTCTTTTCCACCATTTTGCCGACGATCCAAGTTTTCGAATTTCGGAGTTCGTTGATTTTGCTCGATCGTTTGAACCACGAATCGAAATGATTTCGAGCGACGATCACTCGCGTGAAACATGTTCGATTATCCGATTAGTAACTCGATGAGAGGAAAGGAACGAACGCGACCCCAAAATACTTAGCACGGTACGAAAACACGCAGTAAGTACAAAGAACGTACCGACCTTGTCGAAATGGCGCACCAATTTCACCGAATACGCGTAATTACGTTTACCGATGATCGTTACGTACCCTACGCGTACAAACTACTGCACCTTTTCACGCAACTCACCGAAATCTATCGCAAACAAGTTTTAGCAAAAAATCTCGCGTCGATACTACCGCGTATACGACTTCGGCAACACTTGACGCGAGTGAACACGATCTAACAATGGCGTCTTACTAGCCGCGTCCGCTCGTGCGAGCTAATACCAAGGCTAGTACGAGCAGCGACCTCTGTCGAACGATTACGACAAATTACGTTCGAAAACCTACCACCAATGAACCGTCTCCATCTTCATTTCGTATAACATAATCCATTGCGTAAACAGAGTTACCAATTTTGAAACTTTCCGCTTGTAATCTTTTCTTTTTTGTTAAAAACAAAGTAGACACAGCTTCATGTTATTTTATACGTCAGAATAAACAATAAATTGTATGTACATCAGAAACTTTACTCAAGCACAAAAAACCTAAATATTGAACTTTAACAGTTGGTCACCCTGCACGGAAGTTTCTACCGATCTATAAGCATGCTAACGTTTACGTTTCCCTTCCCTTTCATTCATGCGGGTATAATAACGTACTTGGATTACTCACAACACAAGCATCGTTTTTTATGAATCTTAAACTCCAATTCGCCAAAGCTATTAAACTACTCCTACCATGCTAAAACATTCATCAGAAATCTATGATAACGCGTTTTTAACGTAGACAAGGACAAAAAAGAAAAATATCGACTCTACAACGAACAATTATCGATATTACCAGTAATCACGAACAAAAATTAATTTGTAACGCGCGAAATACAGTTAGAAAATCGCGTGTCGTAAAAGTTGCATGGAAAATTACCGTAGGTAATCAGGCTACGTAAATAGCGACGAGGTGCGAATTAGAGGATAGGATGACGCATACACACACGCGCGCATTTACCTTATACGCGACCGTAACACGATCGAAATCGTTTTTCGATCTGTTCGTGATACGTTTTACACTGAATCGAAAATCGGTATGTTCGAGTCTCGTCGAAAACAACAGTCACAAACGTAGCTTTACACGAAATAGAACTCGGCGAGCGTGAAATGGCGTGGTCGGGTATCCTGCGTGTCAGCGATACGACATCATGACCAATATTGTGATTAAATTACGCTTCCGAATGTACCTGCTACTTTCACGCGATGACAGATTACGTATAAAATAGTTTACAATTATTCTGATACTTACCAAGTCAGTATATCTGTAAAAAAAGCACGATTAAACACGACTCTGAACTACACGCTCCCGAAGTAAAAAAAATGGCGGACTGAAACAGACCGGTGCGGTAAGGAGCGGAGAGCGGCGTCCCTTCCTCGAAATGCAGTGTTGCCAACTGCTGAGGAACAAAAATTTTCTGTCATCGCCGTCATCATCATTATTTTTGTAATTACTGTTGTTGAACAAGTAGTATTTTAAGAAATTGCTGAAAATATTTTAGTTGTTACGCTTTTTAGAAAATTTATGTAAGTATTATGTAAGGATTATGCTTTCAAGATATATACAAACGTCAAAAATAAAACGACTGGGGTATAATGCTTTCTGCGACATTAGGTATTTCTATAATGCGTAAATATTTGACTGCAACGTGTTGGTGAATAAAGATTAGTAGTGAACTATTTGAATAGCGAATGTTGTTGTTGATCTAGGCAATTGGATAACGACGATGACTTTCAAGCTTTAGATTTTACGATCTCATGATTACGATGCTATTATTTTGAAGTGTTTATTTGTAATAAAATTGTTTCGCGTTTAACCATTTTTAGGCAACAGGATAATATCGTACGTCAAAGTAATAAATAAAAATTGACCCGTTGAAAAAGACTATAATATTTAATACTCGTTAAAAATATAAATTTCATTGTCCGCGATCAGCCAACTATCAGCTATGATTTTTAATGCAATTACAATTCATCTTCCCGAACAGAAACTTAAATACTATTTAACAGTGACTCCCGTTACATGGCGCGTACACGGAAGTCGGACGTAACAATGATTTTAATGGCAACGGTTCTTTAAAACCTTTCGAGATTTCCATAATCCGTGCATCTTACAAAGATCACGAATACGTCAAACTATCGCGTATTCGAATAAATCTTTAAAATTTGAAAAAAAAAAAAAGAAAAATAAAAAATATATATACATAGATATAGGTGATTATTAAACTGTAAAAATTATTATCGTTACGCCGATCACGTCGTTAAAAAGTATCTTCGAAGTCTAGGCAATCGACGTTTTTAATATACTTTATATCTCTAATTGCACTTAAGCTAAACGATATATCTCATTTGTACAACTTAAAAACATAAATTACATACTGTACAGATAATACAGGATCGTACAAAAAGGTGAAAAAGGAGGAAAACGAAAGAGAGGAGAAAAGTACGTATCAACGCAACTGCAGGTTCGATGAAACAATTCCTGCTTTCCAAGTGAAAAATAAGCGTAACAAGATTGAAAGAAGAGTATACGAAAAATCGTATGAAATTTTATAAACGAAGCAAGATTCCGACACGGAAGAATATTTGGAATACGTGAACGTTCTGCTTTCGTTAAACGTTTGCAACGTTAGAAGGTCGCGTTCGTATCCCCGAACGAAATCTATTCTTCACAACTTTTCGTATCGGTAATCTCTTCGATGATTGTTTTCTAGACGCACAAGCATAAATTTTCGCACGAATTGTACGGTAAAACGCTAGGATAAAAACGATAAAGCCATCGCTTCCTTTAATAGATTTTTAACCGCTAATCTTACTCCAACAACTACTTGGCAGAACAACGTTACCTTTCCTAACAATAAGTAGTAACCATCATCGACTACGTTGAACGAACTCGAAGAGCGTTAAAACGACCGCGTTACGCCGGACGTTAAGATGAAAGAGAAGAAAGGAAAAGAACAGAAAGTAAAAGGAGAGAAAAGCATTCGCACACGATACATACTCACTTAACCGCTTTCATGACAGACAATGATAACGACAACGACAAGGACAACGACAAGGACGACAACCAAAACCAAACCCAATCACTCATCGATCATAAAAATGTTCGCGTTCATACATCGTCGTGTATTTATAAATGTTAGTACTCAGTCTTCGGGCTTGCAGTCTGTCGATAAACTTATGTACACCAGGAGCATATATGTACAAGGGGAAAATAGTCGGTAAGCTTAGAACAAGTAATAGAACGTATTCGAGCGATGCCAAGCGCTACACGATTTTGATGGCGTTGTCGATGTGTAACTTGGATATCGTTTTTTTCACGCGCAGCGCCGTCAAACGAACGGCAGGATTCGCGTGCCAACACTCGGCCATAAGCTTACTCAGAGCAAATAGGATCTGCAAGGGAGAACAAAGAATCAGTATCGGTATCAATATCGTTGTACTCGAAATACGATTTCGATCGTTACCGTGTCATTTTCCCATCGCGCTGGTATCACCGGGCGTAACCGTTTCACGCAAACCGCTAACCGCATATCCTCGAAATCTGGATCGGCCGGAACGACGTCGTGATACGGCAAAGCGTACGGTTCGACGATCGAATTTTTAGCACCGGTCACGCATCTCCTGCACGCCTCCCAAAGCACTAGGCCCACCGAATATATATCCGCCATTTTGAACGCGTCGAAGGAGGACGCGTTCAGAGTCTCATCCAGAACTTCCGGAGCCATGTATCGACGGGTGCCCACCCGGGTGTTCGGCGCAATATCGATTTCCCCGCTCTCGCTGCGAACAAAGTAACACGTGTTAAACCCAGCTGATCGTATCTCAAAGTTCGCTGATAAACAAGATCGCTTACCTGATATATCTCACCGCCAAACCGAAATCGGCGATCGCGCATTCGCCGTTTCGTTTGACCAAAATATTTCTGCTCTTGATATCGCGATGAGCGATGGCAGGCTTGCCGCGGGTTCCAAATATCTCGGTGTGAAGATGAGCGATTCCAGAAGCGATCGAAAGGCAAATTGCGAGTAAAGCGGGGTGATCGAGGACGGTGGTCTGCAGGTAATCGTACAACGATCCTCTTTCATGGTAGTCGGTGATCAGTAACATCTGCGTCCAAGAGCCGGTTCCTTTTATGTCTGCAGCGATGAAGCCCAGTACGTTATCGTGCCTCATCAATACCGTCTGATAAATCTCGGTTTCCCTGAACCAAGAGGCTTCTTCCAGCGTGAAAAATACCTTGACCGCGACCTTTTCGCCTCTCCATCTGGCGAGCCAGACTTCGCCATAACGTCCTTTACCGACACACTGGGACAAGGCCAACTGTTTGGCGATCGTTCGCTGTACCAGAAGAGGTAATCCCGAACCGGATCCGCTGCTCTGATCAATAAAATCTTTCAACGTTCCCTGAGAGGGCACCAGACAGGGTCCCCTCTCTTTCCTTCTGTACCTGTGGTACACCATCACCGTGGCTATCGAAACTAACATTAGGCAGATCGAGAGAACGGTGGCTAATATTATCAGCGGCGCACCGGACGCTATGGCCATAGGATTCGGTACCGCGGTGGGCCTAGGTTTGTACTCGGGGTACAAGTCTTTGTTGCAGAGGGCACTCTTGTTACAACACACTATGCTCTTCCCTTGCAAGTGCGGCACTAGGTATCCCTTGCATTGCATGAAACCCTGCTCGTCCGGAGGCAGACACCCGAACGACCATTCTGGCACGTACTCTCCTGACTCCGCGTCCCAAACTTCCTCGACGGCGCTGAAACAATGGCCGCCGGGTCGCCCTTCGCACGTTCCATTTTGGCGATCGTCCGGACAGTGTCCCTCGCAGTAGCACGTTATTCCTAAGGCTGAAATTTACATGACAAATTTTAGTATTCAAACTCAAATTTGATGGAGAACTTAAATGTAATGATGGACTTAAATTTGATGAAGGACTTAAATTTGATGGAGGACTTAAATTTGACATGCAGTTTTCTTATAATTGTTTGTAGCTATAGCTTAACGTCATTCATTCAAAAAAGACCACTGAGCTTATCCTTGCGAGTCGTACGATACGATAAGATAAGATATGTTGTGATACGGTTATTGAAAATAAGATGCCCCTTTCGTGATTCTTTGAGCTTGATCATTTGACTGGTGTGTTCTATAGGAAACATATAGCAAAAGGAAAAACCTTGCACTTTAGAGGCAATTATTATTTTTAAGGATTTCTAGAGAAAGGCTTAAAAATTTGTAGATGTTTAAATTTATGAATGAAGAAAATTTAAGAATTTGAATATTAAAAATGTAGGTACATAGAAATTCAAAAATTTAGAAGTTTTTTTTAGGGATTTTTAGATATGGGGAAGGTTTAAAAATTTGTAGATGAATTTTTAAATTAATAAACGAAGAAAGATTAAGAATTTTAATATTAAAAATGTAGGCAGAATTAAAAAATGTATAATTTGAAGAATTTCAGACCTAGAACTAAAGCTTGAAAATTGATTTATGAATTCAAGAATCAGGCTAATTTGAAAACGGCTTTACACAAGTGTCGTAACGTATCGTTGCAAAATCGAATTAGAATGATCGTCCGAAAGGGCGCGATTCACGAAACGCGTCACGGTCGCAAAGTCGAACGCGAAGGCGATCGAGGTCGACGATACGCGATCATTTTTTAAGTTTCGTGGAAGCAGCGCGCTGCGTATAACGGAATTCCGTTTTAATGAGAATTTTCTTGGTTCTCCACTTTTCCGTACACGCAATCGAAATGGGCGTTTAACACGAGCAGGGTATGCCAAAGATATAATCCACACACGAAAATACGCACGCACCAGTTGGTTTAAGGTTATCTATCTAATGCGCGTAAAAATGAGCAGAAAGCATGTCGTAGCAGTAAACAAATACAAAGTTCACTGCGAACGAGAGTTTGATGCGACATTAACGTCGAAATTCGATGGCCAGGATCCGTGAGTGACCGATCTCCCTTGAGAGAGAAAGAGAAGCATAGGCTGCCGGGTAGGCCACGTATGTTACGTCGCGGAATTGCTCCCTCGCGTCTATTTTACGGTGACCGTTCTATTTATATCGTCCTCAAGTATTTGGACGAAGGATCGATTCTTGAACCGTACGCAGCCACGCAAGTACATCGGAGGTGTGACTATCGTTTACCGGTATCTTATCGACACCTTTAATCAGATAAAACAATAAATAATTTTGGAAAATTTCACTAAACCTACCGACATATAATGTGTACTTAATTCGAAATTAAAAATGAAGTTAAACGACGAAACATAAATTAGTACACACATTTATTCTTTATCTTAATGAAAATCAATGCTGATTTCAAGGAATGTACTTTAACAAAATATGCATCTAACCTAATCTACCCTAACCTTGTAGACTAACACTTGTAGAGCGGTCATTTGACCGGTTTGGTAGTTTAGTAACATCGCAATAGATTTTTCATATTTATCGATAACGTCTATAATCCTTCAGTCAAGGTCAAATCTCCATAAAAATTGCAATAGATTTCTCATATTTAACGATGTTCGTAATCCTTCAGTCAAGGTGAAATCTCCTCTAGAAGATATGATAACCAGAATAAGAATTCGAGTTGTTTTTTTTTTAATTTTTCAAACAAAAAATTTGAAGATATAATTAGAAAGAAGTTATGGGTACAGAAATTTTAAAATGAGAGTATTTGTAAGTGAGAGTAAAATTTTGAAACTGAGAAATAGTTTGCACGTGTATCCAAGCAAGCCTACGTACTGGAGTTTCTTACCGTTTGACCTTTCGTTTCTCCCGTTTTGGCAAACTCGATTCGACAACTTTTTACCGCCGGCATATCTTCCTAAACGGGTCGCGGTTTTTAAACGGTAACGCGCTAATCAAGTCCGCTTCGTTTCCCAAGAACGGCAATACGTTTGTCAGCAACGCGTGTCTCGGGCTACGCAGTGTAACGCCACGTACTTCTGCGCCGATCGTACCATACAAGGAAATCGCTGTGCGATTATATACCTTCCAACGGAGGTAAACGCGTTCCGACTTGCCTCGGTTCTCAACGACGCGACGTTTTCTTTCGTTGTCGCGACGATCCGGGCAAAAACGTCGACGATTTTCTCATCGAAGTTTGCCCAAAACGAGGCGCGAGAAATACGCCTCGATCGCATCAATTGATCGACCGGCACGATGATGTACGGTGCAGCACGACGTGATGTGGCGCGGCGCCACGCCAACAAACAACGCTCGTTTAGAGAGCGTTCGTAGAACGATTTATCCAGCCAATTTTGTTCGGTCAGCGAGCTTACCGTCTTTACTCTTCGCGCCATTAACCCTTTGATACATACCACTCTGCTGCAGTAATGACATAACTCAAAAATCATCGAGTATTAAATATTCGGAGGTTCTCATTGAGCAGTCGATAACCCTAAGACAATTTCTGTCACGTCAATCACAAAATCCTTGATACCTATACGTTATCTATTTAGTCTTTAATATCCGATACGTGACGATAACCCGTTTCTGCGCATGCGCGTTTTCCGAAGCGTACATATTTTCCGCACTCGCTTTTAACTATGGGAAAACACCTTAATAACGCGATCAGATTTTTAACTTTCGCTGGAACAAAACATCCTTCAAAGTCGAGCTTCTTTTCTCGGAGTTGTTCCTTCTAAGAAATCATACCAGTATGCATTGCGATCGCATGATCGACACCTCGCGTATGCAGTATGTATACATCTGTGAGAAACGGTTCGATCGAGAGATCGGTTTCGAGAAAGCGATCATAGCACCCGCTAAAATTAATCCGAGAGGTCGCGGAGAAACGGCCAGCCAGACAGAAATACGGAATAACCGCGCGTGAAATGATGGCTCGAACGTGCTGCGAGACTGCAAGTCACGTGGAAGAAACGAAGACGAGTAGAAAAAGATCGAGGTACCGCGAGACGAGACTTTACGGCCAGCAAAAGCAGCGAGATCCTCGTTGGTATTTCAGTCCCTAACCTTAACGCCTAACCTCTCTCTTCTTTCTTTCCTTCTTCCTTTCTTGTCCGCTCGCTCGCTCGCTCGTTCGTTCATTCTTTCACACGCTTCTGCTGGTACTCCTTTTTCGAGTTCTCTTCTTTTTTTTCTCTGTCTGTCTCGTTACGAACAAGAAATGACTATACACACATTTTCGGCACGAATTCCTACCGCGAAAATCGTCCAGACGTTTCGATAAACATCGAACCCTTGTGTCAAACGTGAATCAACAACAATGTCAGGAATTAGCGGAAGTAACCTTTTTGTTGATCGAAGAGAAATTTTCTGAACGATTAGAAAACAATACGGTTCGAATAAAAATCTTTCGCGAAACGCTGAAAGAACCGTGTAACACTATACAGTGTACAGCGTACTTACACTGTTTTCGTTGATGCGCCGAAAACAACGATATTGGAACATCGATGATCAAAGTGCGAAGAGGGGGAGGG